TCCTACATCAAGCGGATATCTAATTGTATGTAATTAGTCATATTTCCCAAAGTTACAGGAGTATGGTTTTGATTAAAACAAGACAATAAGGCCTGCTGCAGGGTTTGGAAAAGAAAAATGTGATGTGTTTGATTATGATAGGCCACATTGCTGTGAAAAACTTTTTTCATGTTAAGAACTCCAATCTTTTACCGAAGTTGAAGTAGTATTTTAACTTAAAATTTGTGCACATACTTGAAAGGGAGTCTATAGCTACCAGACAAGTATCCATTATGGAGCAGTCCTGTAGTCCGGTGAGCAATTTCAATTATTTCTAAAACATCCCAACCATGCAGAAAGTTTTATGTGTAATGTTCCAACGATGAGTGCATTTTGGAAATATATTTTTGATACTACCTCCTGTGTTTGACCTCATTTTTATTTATAGTTAATTCCCAAGTTTAGAAGTAGAATGCTTTGATTTCTTTCTGTTTTTCCTTCCAATTGGAGCTATTCTCTGTCTGATATACCAGTCAGGTGATTTATACTAAACTATGCTAAACAATTTAGGAAAATAAAATATACTAAAAATGGAATAAGAGCATCACTTTATGCTGAACATAAAATAACTACAGGAATCATACACACTGAGTACAAAGTGCTTGTTTAAAGATAAAACAATATAATTGGATCTGACATGATTTTCAAGAACCTGAAAAATGACGATTAAGTACAAAAGTCAGAATACAAGTCATCAACTCAATTTATATCACATGGATACAGTAATAGTCTAAAGCATAAAAACGTAAAACTGTGATGAAAACAGAAAGTACTTAAAATACACACCTGCTTCTAGTGCTCTAGACAACATTGTTAGAGACAAGAAAAAAAGTTACAAATTAAAAAAACAAAGGTAGTGTTTGAATTAACAAACAGTAAGTTTGGGACAGCTTATTAACTAAGCATAGGCTCCTTTAAAACAATAGCACAAGGCAAATACCTTTGTAGTAGGAACCACGGGACAATGTACTGAGATTCACAAGAACGTTTGCAAGCACCATTTTTAAGGTGGAAAGTCCAAAGTTACACGTAGTGCTAACATAATGAAAGGGCACACAATATCACAGATGCTTCCAAAAAGGAGCGGGTTTGACAAGGCTAAATATTTTTTAACATTTTTCTTTTTGCTGCTTTAAGTAAACAATACTTTAGTAATTTAGTAATAAAATGTTTGTGTTACGGCGAATGTCCGGTGGCTGGCGAATGTCTGACATTCGCCGGCGAAAGTCCGAATCGCCGGAGGTCACCGGCGAATGTCCGAATATAATTTTGAAAGTTATTTTACGCGGACATTCGCCGGTTTGTCACTGGCGAAAGTAACATTCGCCAAAGGTGCCCGGCGAATGTCCGAAAATATTTCTTTTTCCTGGCAGAACTTGAACTGATGGGATTAATGCAGACATTCACCAGCTTATTTCTGGCTAATGTCTGAAGGGAAGCTGGAGCTTAGTTATTAGAAAGTAAAATGGTCAAGACCTGTATTTAAGGGCGCATCCTAGTGTAGCGAGCCTAAAATAGGGGTGATTAGCGTAATTATTTTTAGAGAACCCATAGTTTCTAGAAGTAAAACCGAGTATACCGTTTAGTAGCGCATACTTTTGACTATAAAATGCAATGTGTAAGACGTCGATACGCCTATCCAAAGCTGAGATATCCCCTGTTGAAAACGGCACTGCAGCGTTGTCGTTTTGTGGTGTACCTCTTTGAAGTCGAGCCGTTGGTCTCAAAGAGTCCAACAAAGCGTTTTTAGACTCTGTATAAATGTAGGTATGGCATGAACTAGGATATTTGCAATCGGATAATTTTTACTATTTTTTCGAGCAGCTTAAACTTAACAAAGCTAAAAATCTCATAGCTTTGATTTTTTTTCGGGATGAAGGAGGTGACCGATTCCAGATATCCTAGTTCATGCCATACCTACAAGTGTTAGGAACATCCACAAAAAATCGGAACCTCAACGGCCCAACGGTGTGGCCGTAATCCGGTACACTATGACAAGACGACAACGCTGCAGTGCCGTTTTCTACAGGCGATATCTCAGCTTTGGATAGGCGTATCGACGTCATACGCATTGCATTTTATAGTCAAAAGTATGCGCCACTAAACGGTATACTCGGTTTTGTTCTAGAAACTATGGGTTCTCTAAAATTAATTACGCAAATCACTCCTATTTAGGCTCGCTACACTAGGGTGCCCCCTTAACTTAGTGTTGGGGGAAGGCCAACTATCTCACTGCCATAACAGTAATTATTGCCGCAACACAATGCGTCAATGCACCATCCTAGTTCATGATTCTTGATAAGACAATAAATTTAGGGATTTGAGCCCAAGACAAGAGGGGAAAATTCACATCAAAACAACCAGTATTGTCATAGAAAATTACCTGGCAAAGACATAGGAGCTGCATCCAGACAAGAGGGTTGCTTGGGTCGTTTCTGCAAAGAGGCCGAGTTTTGGATCTCTGCGCAGACTCAGAGACCCCAGCCACCCTCTTTTCTGGACCCAGCTCAGAACTCTGGTCGTTTTAATGGATCTTCCTTACTACAATCAGGGTTGCATTTTAGGGAGAGCTTGATTGAGAAGACACAAAATGATTTGCAGAGGACTTGCATACAACAATCAATATTAAGTGTCTCTTACCTTACACAACAACCTACAGTGCTACATGCCCTCTTTTGATAATAAAAAATAAAATAAACACATACATGAAAGGAATGGCTTACTGTCCTAAAAACATGTCAGTTCAAGTCATAATTGCAAATAATGAATAAAACTTCTACCTGAACAGAATATGTAAAATGGCACTGAATAGACCAATTTCAAATGCTCCCTAACTCGCTCTGTCACTATCAATCAATACCTACAATATTTCAAAACATTGTGGTTTGTGGATTGACTAGACTGAATCTACTCCGAGCTGCCAACAATCACTTGCAATCTTTTCAATTTTTGCTTGCACCATCTGATGCCATTTGGGCCGCTAGGTCAGCAAACTTTGCAACATAATCTAAACTAGTTTCAGTCATGAGGCATTGCATGTGTGTTTCCACCTGTGTTTATTGGTTTAAAACAAAAAATAAAAAAAATGATTGAGAAAGAAAAAAGATGGGGGGAAAATGGTAGATTTCAGTTTAAAAAACTTGACAAGCTAATTCAAGATGACCACGTTACTTGTAATAACAGAAATACTTACATCAGACGTTATTGAAGTTTGTTGGTTGCTTACTTGTAGAGGCTCAGGATTTGCTTTCATGGGAGATTCAAGATGTCCTAAAAAGCTACTGAGTGAAAAGTCCTGGAAATAAAAATTCAGAAAGTTGTGACAGCTGTTATACAAATGTAACAAAATTGTAGATACATTACGAAGAAATTTACCTCAGCGTTAAGCCACTGATTCTCATCTTCTTTTAACAAAGTTGACGGACTTGCAGGTGGTGGGGACGATGGACCAACTGTGCTAGACAATAATCCTGCAATAATTTTTAATTAGTTGTGATATTCAGACTGAAGCATACAAGTAATATGATTCTTTCCAATAATTTATAATGTATCATATCATCCAACTAACCAGTGAAATTAGTCTCCATTAGTGGGCTTGAGTTTAGACCAAGTTCACAAGGAAGAGACAAATCCAGTAGGTTTGATATGCTGGGTGGGGAGTTGACTGGAGTGTCTAAAGTAGGAGGGAAAAGGTCTTGCACTAAATGGCAAGATTGGTGTGGCTGATCACCTTTGTTTTTGTTAGACTGCTCTTGCACAGTTACATGTGGCTTTGATTTGGTTCCTGCAATAGGAAGATAAGTGAATTCTTCAATACAGTAGCAAATACAATAGCTTGTGGCAAACATCTGCACAGCTCATACGTACCCATACTTTCACACAAGTCAGGCATTGAAATGTCAATATCTGCACCTGTTACTTTGGGAATAGTTTTTGCAATTTGAGGACCAACAGTTGAAGTGGTAGTGGTGACAACTTGTGGTGAAGGTTCAGTAATTTTGTGAACAAATTGTGGGATGGATGACTGCAATAAGTTTGATGAACTAGTGGGGGTGAAATTGAGAATACTAGGAGACTGAGCTATTGGAAGAAAATCTCCAGGTACAGAAGTGTTTTGAGGCAAAACCTGAAAGAAATATACATGTGATGTAACATGTGCTAGGATTGTTGAATTGACATAAAATCACAAGATTCAACAAAATTACCTGGAAGGTAACAACAGATTGAGTTTGAGGAGCTTTAGGCAGAAGAGGTAGTATTCTCGGGACAACAACATTTTTCTTCACAGACACTGGCCTTCCACGGCGATTACATCCCCTTGGCCTGAATTTCTAAAAGAAAATATACAAATATTGAGGTACTTAGAACCAAATACATATGGTAACAATAATGATCTTTAAGGGATATTGAAGTTAAAAACGTGTTTCAGTAACTATAAACAACAAACCTCCAACTGAGCTTTAAAGGCATCAGCTGTGCCGGGGCGAGGTGGAGGTTTAAAGTGTGGAGATGGCATAAGAGGTCTCCGGAATGGGCCATCATTCATAGATGGTGAGCTAAGCTTTGGGGGAACAGCAGAGCTTTCAGGTGGCAAATCAGAGTTGAGTACCTTCTGTGATATAAGAGATAGATGAAAAGTAAGATAAATGAAAGATAAAATAATTTATACACAAGTTGAAGAAAAAATTGTAAAGGGAAAAATGCTCACATCAACTTCAATGATGCCTCGTGATGGGCGGGTTACTTTTGTCTTTGGCACGTTAGACTTTGGTGTCCCATTGCAAACATGACCACATGGGCACTGTGAAGAACAAAAAGCTCTTTAGAGGGTGCTAATTTTCAAATACTGTAGTTATATTTTAAAGAAGTACTCACCTTAGCTTGGGAACTACACATTTTGGCAAGAGACAATAGTTTTTTCAGAGGTAGGGAGAGTTGATTGGTGGGGCTCACTTGATCCTTCTGGCCTATCAAACCTTCAAGTAATGGTTTATTGATAAAACTTTGTAGATCTTTAGCGTCTGTTGAAACATTTGAAGTAACTTCTGGAGATGAGCTCTGTAGCCGGTCTTCCCACCAGTACTCCAATTTAACTTTTGAATCTGCGCCAAACTAAAAAAAACACAACAAAAACAGGAAAGTTTAGTCAGTCAAAATATTGAAACAAAATTTAAAAGGTAGATTTCTCCTTACCATTAAATAGAGTTCACCAATGGTAGCAGCATTAGCATTGTCAATATTCCAGCCAGAGCGGACTCGTTTGATAACATCTTCATTGGATTCGGTTGAATTGGTCTGCTGGTTTACAGAGCAAACAGCGTTGTCTTGAATATTACCACCAATAGTGGAACTTCCTGGTTGAACATTATCTGTGTCATCTTTAACACCAGAATTCTTTGCTGAAGACTTTACAGATTCCCCATTAACCTTTAACTCTCCATGACCTAAAACAGATTAAAAAAAAAAAAAAAAGAAATGGAATACATTAAAAAAAGAAATGAAAATAGGTACAAAAAAATTAATAAAAACATTGCTGGCATTTGGAGATTTACCTGAGTCTGCGCTACTACTGCTAGCATCTAGATTGATGCCACTTCCAAAAAGGCGGAAAGGACATGATGGCTTTTCATCTTCATTTTCAACTTGTGTGTAGGCACCTGACTGAGAACCATCCTTTGATTTTTCAGGTGATGAATCTAGTTGAGATATCTGTAGTTCCTTTTTCTTATCACTAGAACTGTCATTCCTCTGACGCTTTGTTCCCCTTCTCCCACATCTAGAATCCGTACAAGCGAACAAATAAAATTAAACATTACTAGACAGATGGTAAACATTCAACCAGTTAGTTTACACGGATCTTACCCTTTGCTAGCATGTAGCATTGAGTTGAAAAGTTGTTCAGCAGCATGGTTACCTAATCTACCTTCATGAGAGTTTAAACTTAAACGGGAGCTGGTAAAATATTCACTAAGATTTATTGTAAGAGGAGTAATGGTTGCATTGGATTTTGGGGCGACACGAAGAATATATTGTGGCTTACGAAACTCTTTTCTTGATCCAAGGTCATCAGATAGATTAATATCAGGGTTATTTCGTTTACCATCAGTCAGTCCAACTCCATTGTCCACCTAAAAGGAGGAATATGAAGGGATAAAGCATGTAATTATTTCCAAAGACTAGAAAGGATTTAAAATTTGAAATATCTTACTGCTGTAGATGGAGCGTCATTTGTCAATTCCATGTTGGCTGTTACTTCTTTCAGCTGTGACTGCAGTCTCTCACAGTGCTTAAGTGTGTGTGGTTGCCACCGTTGTTCAAGATAGCTAAGAAGAGTTGATAAACGACGCTGCAGAGGCAACAGAGTTTGAACCCTGGGATTTTGAGCAGTGGCCTGCACACGTGCCCATGCTTCATTTGTTCTTGGTTGCAGCTCAACGGTTACTCTTGTTGGTAACTTCAAATCTTCAGCTAGATCTTCTTGCTGGTTTAACTTGCGTAAAGCTCGACAAATAGGGGTTTTCACACGAATATTTTTTCCTCTTACCCTGATAGTAGTAAAGCCCCTGAAAAAAAAGGTTCAAATTATGGCATTAAATAAAACTTTCTATTTTTCTTAAATAAACAAATCAAATAATAGAAAATATAGTACAAAACGCTTCTTTTTTTTTTCTATACCTGTAAATAAGTTCACTGAGCTTGAGGCTGGTTTTCTCTGACACACTTCCTAGTTTTTTTCTTAGTTCTCCAAAGTTAATGAGGCCATATAATTCTTGAGTTGCCTTTTTCGTTTCATCTGGGAAGCGCAGGTGCTTGGATATTTTGTGCCATGTCCTATAATAGAAATGTCTTATCTGCTCTTTATTTTTAATCATATGTTCAGGGAGACTTTTACGTTTTGCTTTAGCTTCAAAATATCTTTGAATTGCATCAAAATCTTTCCCAAACTCATTCAATGCTTCGAAAAAAGTATTTTTGTCCTCTAATGGCCACAATTCAAATGGCCTTCTCTTTGGTTTGGCATCAAGCTTGTCTTCTTCTTTAGGCAAATCTAAAAATAATAATAATTATTATTTTTATTGGCTTATTTAAAACTTTAAATACAAGGGATTCAGTCATAGCAGTCTTCTTTCAATACTGTGCACAACTCATTTTATTCAAAATGTCCAGGGTAGTTGTAGAATTTACCTTTTCTCTCAGGGGGAGTCTGGTTAGCAATGATGTCCAAGCGCATCTTCTTTGAAACACGTGCACTGGTTCGAAGTTGAACAGAACTGTTTTTGTCCCCGTTTTCCATTTCATGACTCTGGACCACTGACCCCAGAATTTCGGGTGGATCTTCTGCAACTGTAGCTTGTTCGACATCAGGCATTGGAGGCATAGTTGACACGGAATCTGCTTTATCATTTTCTGTTCCAATACAAAAGGCATTGTTGAAGGGTTTTGGGCCAGTGATACCATTGTCATTGACCTGACAAGCACTCATCCTGTAACACAATATTAGGGAGGATTTTGAACAGCAAACTAAAATAGGATACAGATCAATGTTAAAATTGAAAATAAACGTTATTGGGCCAAAATTCAGATGGAATGTTGTAGTATCCATATTAATGAGAACATGGTAAAAGTTGTAGGTAGTCACAAACACAAAAACAAACAACCATAATTTTTCAGATTGAACAAATTCATTGAAACACAATGTTTTCATATGGTATTTCCTTTTTTGGTGTGTGATAAGAAAACACTTAAGAACCAAGTAACATTTACTTCCACAAGAACACATCCATACCAAAACCATGAACTTTGCATAGTGTACATACCCAGCGTTGATCGCAGACGATCTTCTACAATATCATGATAACAAAGGCGAACGATTATTTTCGCCCTTTCAGATCATGGCAATCGTAATGCCAGAATTTTCAAGTGTGTTACTGGGTGAAAATCTCGAGCAACTATTCAACATGTCTCCGCACGATCACAGCCATCACAGAGCTAATAATAACTCACGTCACCTTGCCACAATCACAATTGCTCACATTATTCAAATAAGACAGGCACCATATGTAAGAGGTTCGTCCGTCTTCGTTGGCCGTGTACTGATGATGAGGGGGAAAATGCGAAGAACTTCTTTAGAAACTAATAATAAAGTGGACTGACTAGCGGCGTTAACAGTGACCCGCTCTTCCACTCTCTTTGTTCAAAAGCAACCCCAGCAACATAACTTGAAATTCGGCGTTGGCTCATGCGTCAAGTACTGATACAAAGTCGAAATCCAGAAAAAAATATCAAATTCCACGGCAATTACTAGAACAATAACCAATAACAGAGAAGCACGAACCTTCACGAACTAATGTTTACAACCCAATGAAAACTGGAGTTCCACTGAATGGCCAACACTATAAAAGTGAAATTTAACCTTCTTTTCCAAACAAAGTTGACCTCCAAATCGTTGCCTTTTGAATTTCTAAATCAGCTTCGGATAAGTTTTGGCAATATTTTAAAAAGAAACTGCGATGAAAATAAGTCAATAAAATGCTCAGACTAGTTTTACGTTCTCATACGTTTGCCCTACTGGAATCACCGCCTGCTGGCGAAGCGAAAATTACTGACTGTTATTGTTCGGTCTTCGATTGACATTTTATATTTTGTAAGAGGTTAGATTAGTTAGATGCAATTTAATGCGGCATTTGAAAACTTTGGCTAGCCATCTGGAACTTCTAGCCGGAACGGAATAGTCAGAGCCTCAGTCGAACACTTACTCTCAAATCCTCTAAGACTTCCGAATCGTGTCACGACCTAAAAGTAAAGCTCTGATACAATGTCAGAAGAAGATAGCTTAGATGTGAAACCAATCATCAGTTCTCTGACTGCTGCACAGAGAGCACTCATTGAAAAAAACAGACTAAAAGCGTTAGAGATTCGAAGAGCTAAATTATTGCCACATCCTTATGCTAAAGTGTAAGTATTGTTTTCTTATATTATTAATTGTATTTCGTGTCAAAAGGCCCCTGAGAGTAGACACGATCAAATACAGTTATTTGACAACTTAATGACCAAAAGCTTAAATTGTTTGACCACTTCAATGTTTCCTGGTTTTCTTTAGTGATAAATCAGCTGCTGAAAAAACTGTTACACGCTCCAAAAGCAATAAAATTGTTGATACTGGTGGAGGATTTTTGCTTGAAGAAGTAGATGAGGGAAACCTGTTCAATGACAATGTAAGTAGTACATATTTTCCTTTCATACATGCTATCACTGTATTACGTACTCACATTTGCAGGTAAAATTTATTGTTGGTCGCATTGTTCCCTACAGCCAGAAGTTGTCAAGGACCCAGGACCTATCTTACCTCCTGACTGTCCCATTTGTGAAGAATGTCAGAAGGAGTTCTCTGATTCTTGGTTGCTGAAGTCATTCAATCATTCTGTATGTGATGGTTGCAGGTAATTTTTTAGAAAATGATTAGCTCGTGTGCATGTATGTTTCGGTTAAACCCCGAAGAACGGCAAATCCTGGGTTTGACCGGTCAAAGCTAGGTTTTACCGAGGCAGTTTGGTAAAAGCCCGATGTAGGATGGTGGATCTAGGGTTTGACCGGTAATATTGGTATAATTGGGCTTTTACCGCACCCAAAACGGTAACTGCTGTAGCTGAAAATTTTTATTTCCAAGCATTTTCCAGAAATTTTACTGGCCCTATTACTAGGATGGCACTTAGAACCTAAGAGCGACCTCCTGGCCATTTACTGAAATTCTGGCAGTCTTTCTGGCAAAGGCACTTTGTGAAGCCCTAGCTGGCCTAGAAGTACTTTACACTCATGGTGTTGAATTATTTCTGGTAGGTGTGTGCCTCTGCAAACCAAGTTGCAATGTCCTTATGAATATAAAAATTATCTGGGTACAGCATATACAGTTTTGGGCATTGTAAAAGCCCGATTCTACCAATATCACCGGTCAAAGTCCGGATCGACCATCCTACATCGGGCTTTTACCAAACTGCCTCGGTAAAACCAGGCTTTGACCGGTCAAACACCGGAACTGCCGTTCACTACATTTTAATTTAAACATGTTTTTCTTTTCAGAGACAATGAAGACAAACATGCACTTATCACAAGGACAGATGCTAAAACTGAATACCTACTGAAGGACTGCGATCTTGACAAAAGACTCCCATGCCTTAAGTTTATTGTGAGGAAAAACCCTCATAATCCTCGTTGGGGTGACATGAAGCTATACCTCCACTTGCAGGTAACGAAAGTTGTTCATTGAAAGATATAAAAGGGTATGCTTCTTCTAACATGTTCGGAGCAGCTGTGGGTCCAGTGGGTTGGAAAACCTATTAGGCTGTGGTCACATTCTGGACCAGAATTTCTGGTCCCACCGCACTGAATGTGTTAATACCCGTTTTTGATAATAACTGTGATATTTACTTCTATCAGATTGAAAAACGAGCATTGGAAGTGTGGGGATCAGAAGAAGCATTATTGGAAGAAAAAGAGGCGAGAGATGAAAAACGAAATGCCTCGAAAGTGAAGAAGTACAACAAGCAGTTAAAAGGTAAGTACTGGGAACTTCTTGTGCCAAAAACACGTGTTTTGATAAGTCATAATTAGTATGATGATGCCCTGTTGACAGCCCTTCGGATGAGTGTGAGGAGCAGCCTGTATGACCGTACTTCAGCAGCAGCTCACACACATACCTTTGGTGCAGAGTCTTACAATGAAGAAGACGACACTTACACTCGTTCTTGCACAACATGTAATTTTACTGACACTTTTGAAAAGATGTGATCCCACTCTTTTTTATGGTCACACATCTCATATGTGTGTGTTTCTTTTTATTGTTTTCTTTTCTGAAGTAACTACTATATTTATTTCACTCTAAGCAGCACACAATTCTTATCTGGACCCTATATATTACTGGAGAGTCACAGAAACTACTCTCACATTATCTCAAAATAGGTTCATGATTCTAAGCTGCACTTCGACTTTCTGGTTCCATGATTGAAAAAAGGGGGTGTTGCTTAGAATTGAGTAAATGAGGTATGTTTGAGTGAAAATAATATGTGTATCTATTGATTCTTTTAGCCCTTGTTCGAGAGAAGTCAAGGAAATCAGGGCCAGAAATAGGACTTCATTTGAAGTAATTTTGTATTCTATACTGTAGAATTAACCTGCCTAAACACCTCTATGGTAATTATTGAAGCTGATTTCCTTTAACTTCTTTGCTACATATCCAGAGCGGATAAGGTCTACTAGAAATTAAACTTGTATTATATTTGGTCCTTATTCTTATCTTACCGTACTATCTGTGTTTTTTCTAACTGTATTTATTTTTGTTATTATTAGTTTTGTAAGAGATTTTTTCACTCTCAGGAAACATTTGAATGTGTATCTTCTCTGTAAACAATAGCAATAGCACAATCAAGTAAGTACACTTGGAAATATGAAGAGTTTTTTGTATGCCGGCTATTAGTAAATTAGTTAGAGTAAATTTAAATTTATTTTTATCATTTAATGTCATTTGTAGGAGTGTAGTATTTTATTTTCAAAAAGAAGCCCTTCTTTTTAAGTTTTAATACTGTGAAGCCCTTCTTTTTAAGTTTTAACACTGTGATAAAGGAAAGTGATTGTACATGGATTTAAGAGTAAGGCCTTTTAATGTACCCACCACACAGCCACTGAAGGTGGGCCTCGAATGTACTATTAACACTGAAAGTAGTGGTGGGTGAAATGATGCTCAAAACAGCATGGTTTGTGTCTCCTATAAGAAGAGCACTGTGAGAGAGCATTATTTGGTGTGACATGAATGAATTAAATGTCCTTGCAAACACAGTAAGATGAGAAAGGTTCTACCTTGAAGAACTCGATTGCTGAAAATAAATATTGGTTGAGTATTTTAAAATGTTGCATGTACTTTATCTCCTAAATTACATTGAACCGTAGAAAATGCAGAATTTTGCCAACTTGCCAAAGTATAATTCGAGTGGGCATTATCTGTCAGTAAACCAAAAATATTTGGTGAAAGCTAATGTACAACAGGGTTTGCCTTTCTACCTCAAGTCTTTGCATGCCTTCAGTCAAGCCTGATGCCCAGGGTTCATCTCTCTGGCCTTGTAAGCCCCTTTCTGACAAGTAAAAACAACTTGCTATGAATTTTTAGACAACAAGACTGTCTCTACCAGAACGTGTTCCCCCACCCTCTCCCCTTTACAACAGAGCAGCAAGGGAGCTTGGATGTGTTTTAAAAAAAGAACTTAAACAAACTATGACTTATGTGAATGAAAATTCACGAAGTTAAACAAACCATGACTTTTGTGAATGAAAATTCAGTTTTGTAATTGTTATTACAATTTTTGATAAGTCTAATAATTTGTCTTTCTTTCTTAAGCCACCCTGCACACTTGAGTAGATGCACATGAGCTAAATGTATCCCCCCGGTCCCCCTTAGCTGCCTTTTCTGACTTGTTAACATTGTTGTATCCATGATGGTGACTTAGTCTTCCACAAAGATCGTTTTCTATTCGAATCGCAATCTGTTAGCGTTCACCCGACACCGCCTCCTTCCCTGAGTGGCCGCTGAAAAGCCCAACGTTTAAGCAGGTTTTGCGCAGCCAATTATCTCAAAGATAACGCGATAGTGCTTAGGCCTCATCGAAGGACCGGAGTGCGACGTCTGATGATACAGTTGACGACAACCGTTTGAAGTGCCGGCTTTTCCTACTCATTTTGCCTGGGTAAAGGGTGTGTCAAGGTGTGTCAATGAATTAGGGCCGGTGTAAAATCACACATTCAGCAGTGAAAGATCAAAAATAATGTTCAAGAGTTTTCTTTTCCTCACAGCTGTTCCTTCTTTATTTTATGTTGACAAATTACTCTGTAATTTAAAAGATTGTATTCATATTTAGATGGCAACAAAATGGGGAATTGCTAGTGCAGGATTGATCTCCCATGATTTTGCAACTGCTGTTGCTACCCTGCCAGCAAATGAGCACAAACTTGTGGCCATAGCAGCACGAGATGCTGCTCGAGCCAAAGATTTTGCTGCACGCCACAATATTCCTCATATTCATTCTAGTTATGATGAACTTGCTAAGAATCCAGATGTTGGTGAGCAATCGTGTTTCAGTTACTTTGAGCTTAATTATGTTTGTGGCACTCTGCCCTGAAAGGTGCATATTTGATTTCATACTGATTTTCCAGATGTTGTCTATGTGGGAACTATCAATCCATTCCATTATGAGGTATCAAAGCTGATGCTAGAGCATGGAAAACATGTACTCTGTGAGAAACCCCTCTGTATGAATCAAAAGGACACCATTGAACTTTTAAAGGTATATAGGTAGACTATTCAATCTAAATTACTATTTTTCTTGTACGAACAACTTTGTTTTTCTTTAGATTGCAAAGGAAAAGAAGTTATTCTTCATGGAAGCTATTTGGAGCCGTTTCTTCCCTGCTTATGAACAAGTGCGGAGAGAGTTGTCAGCTGGTGCAATAGGAGAAATTATTCAGTTAAATGCTGAGTTTGGAGTACACATAGAAGCTGCTCGTGTTAAGTAAGAATTAACATTTTCTTATTTCTGTTAGATTAGAGACAAAATATCACAATAACAAGAGATATGTATTTATTTATCTGTCCTTCAGGCAAAAAGATTTGGGTGGAGGTACCATTCTGGATCTTGGGGTGTATGTCTTGCAGCTTGCTGTAATGATTTTTGGTCCCAAAATGCCTTTGTCTGTGAAAGCTGTTGGTCATTTGAATTCTGATGGAGTTGATGACAATGCAGCAATTGTTTTGACTTACCCTGGATCAAAGACAGCTTGCCTTTCTACATCATCACTGACAAATATGGAAAATAATGCTGTTATTTATGGCACAAAGGGTAGCATTAAGGTGAGTCAGTACATGCATTCTTTCCTACCCCTGTGCACCAAGGTGCGTTACGGACCCGTGCAAGCATAGCCTCCCTGCATGTTTTTCCATACTTCGGTAAAAAAAAAAACTTACTTTATTTTATTGTGCTCAAGATTTGCCAACCATTCTGGTGTTCTACATCAGTAATTTCTGGTGATAAGACATCAGAGTTTGTCCTGCCTGCTGCTGCTCAACCCTTTAATTTCACCAATAGCTGTGGCCTACGCTATGAAGCAGCCGAGGTTCGCCGCTGTATAAATGAAGGTATATTATTCTCTTAGGTTATACATCTGTTAAAAATATAGCCTCTGTAATCAAAGTAATTCTTATGCCTAGGATTATATGAGAGTCCTAAAATGACTCATGAAGAATCTCTTGTCATATCTAAACTTCAAGATGAAATTCGTGCTCAGATTGGTGTTGTTTTCAAAACTGATTCCTAAGGAAGACAATTCTGAAAGCGTGGGAGCTCTCCCACTTCCAAACAAGTTGGCATTGAGTGGTTATTCCCTTTCAATATTGTTATTTTTGGATTTGAAGTTTAAGAGAAAAGTATTAAATATTTTGTGATTATTACTTTCAGTTTATTTTCTTACCCTATTTACATTTCCTTTATGGAAAATATCAACTGTTGTTTCATGGCATTTCCTCAAATCCATATTAAAAACTCCAAGGGACATTTTATTATCAGGTGATTTAAAATAATCTAAACCTCTTCCTATTTTAATTATCCATCCATTACTTAATCTGTAAAAGAATTTTTTTTATATGAAATCATTACTTCAAACTTAAATTAAGGGGCTTAATTTTTTCCTTTAATTGGTATTTATTCCATACCTTATTGTTCTATCGTGAAGTGTTGTCCGAATTTCAACTGCTAAGTTTACTCTGCGGGACTGGAGAGAACTTTTTAGGCTCGCAAGCCAGTTGTTTGTATCATGAGCTTCTTGTGGATTATGCCCAACATTTGTTATCAAGTCAATAGTTTTCAGATTGGGGCAATTTGTAACTGCTAACTCACAGAACTTTAAAAAATTTTGGCACTGGAAAAAAATAAATAATTGGACAACGGATTAGAAAAAGTACAATTATTCAGAGAAACCAGGAGACCCTTGACAGAAAAAAACAACTAAATCTATACCTGATGGAAATTTCTTACGTATGGATCTTCTACTTCTATGTCAGTCACTTCTGAATCCAGGAAACGTCCAAATACGCTTTGGTAACTGTGCCCAGTAGAGTCAGCCTCAATCACAACTTGTTCTCTGTATTCACCAAGAGCCTTCTTCTCTTCTATGAGCTTTTTGATCATTTCAGCGCGAGACATGTACTCTTCCACCTTCTGCCGTAGCTGTGCCTTTTTTGATGTATCCGTTGTGGCTGAATGTTTACAGAAGACAAATCAGATTACAAAGAGAAAGCAGACTTCAATTTTCTTGATAGGGCTAATTGATGTTAACACTTACTTTTGATAACTTCCATTAATACCCTTAAGCCTTGCTCATAGCAAACCAGCGACTCAGTGTACCTCCTGTTCCTGTCAAGTTCAACAGCTCGTTGGAGGATGGAGGTGACTGCAGGCCCAACAAGACCTAACCCACTTGACGAGGACATTTTCTGAGGAACACCTACAAGTAGAAAAAAATTGACACTAATCGAAACATAAATAGTGCAAAAACAATGACAATTATAGGTGTTGTATGTCCTCACCTTTCTACAAAGACTGTCAGTAGTATGAGCCCAACCTCAAATAAATACAAAATCGGACTTTGTAATGTCATGCAATCAAAACGAAATATAACACAAACATTCTTTTATTAAATCCAAATCATAAATGTTTTAAAATTAAAAAGTTGAGCATTGGCCTAACAGGCCAACGCAACATCTGTTCTGTTTACTGCATTCTCGGAGGAGCACACGGGAGCTGTATAGGAGCCACCCGAAGTACCCGAAGTGGCCGAAGCGGGGTGGGGAGTTCGGCTCGGCCCGGCGGTCTCGACTCTGTCTCTGTCTACTGCGCCCGGAACGGGCATTGCAGCTGACAGCTGTAGCAGTGTGCTGTCAGTCTGGAGAATTCCTTAAAATGTTATTGGATGTTAAATATTGCTAGCCCGAGCAGCGAATAAAGTGCTATAATCGCTCATAAAGTAGTACATTTCCTGCGCAATTAATGCGCATTACCGAACAAATGCACTGCACAGGTGTTACCTAAAAACAGTCTTAGTGGTGCATAGGCCAACAAAATGTCCCGCACTTAATGTGTAAAAGCGCATAAAATGCGGTAATGCCTGTAAAAAGTACACTAGGCGATTCAAGATTATACCCAGTACCCTTTCCTTTCGGCCTATTTTCATAATTTTCACTGAACTAAATTTTACGAAAACGCAAAATTTAGCCAGCAAGGATTTACGATAATATCAATCAAGTTGTTGACCGTGCCCACCACACACAATTAAAATATTTAGTATGTCATTACATTTTTTAAAGCGGTCTATAGATTAAGATCTCCAGAAATCCTCTGACTTCATTTGATGCGCTTCCTTATAAACTATATTAAAGATTCAATTTAAGCGTACTAAATAAATTTGAAAAACCACTTAGTTTCATCACCAAATATCAGAATATTTTCTTTACGATAATGTAGAGAATCCATGCGAGGAGGGCGTAACTTAATTCTATAAGAACATTAAATTTGATTCCGCTGTGATCTGAGCAGTGGTTTCATGAAGGTGGTGTGGTAATTGGGTAAGTCAACAACGAAGGGCTTTGCTTTTTATCCGTCCTTAAAATTTCATTAGCGTCATTGTATGCAGCTGTTTGTTTCATGTATATCATTGCTGACTTTCTTTCAACTCTGAAAATTTAATACGTGTTAAAAGATAAAACTTGTTGCTATTATTTTCTTTTTTTAAAAAAATTGGTTGATCTATTATGTAGTTTAGTGAGTGGTGAAAATTAACTCAAAATTGACTACTTAACTTAATGTCTGGACTTCTATGAATCACTCATTAGCTTTAATCAAAAGACACATTCCTATCAGTCTTAATCAATTATTCAACAAAAGTCAGCTGACAGTTGCTATGTGCATTCTTTTCTTCCAGCCAAATTTTGGGTACTTTAAATTTCAGGACGCCCTCCCTGGCCGAGCCGAGCGGCCGAGTCGCATCTCCCTCCTCCTCCACCCGAGCGCTTCGGGTGGCTCCTATACAGCTCCCGTGTGCTCCTCCGCTGCATTCTGAACAAACAACACAAACATACAGGCCACAACAACAAGAAAATGGTCTTACTTATGAAAAATTCTACGTTGGACGAATCGTGGAACTCGCTTTCTCATCTTCTAAAACTCTAGCAGTCAGATAGCGCAGCGCCAAGTTTGAATGGATAAGTTAGAGTTAGAGGGCAGGCACACAAATAACACAAACAAATTAGGATAGAATGAATCATAAACTTTATTTTTTCAGAGAAAAATCATTTTTACAAAAATGAGACTATGAACAAGAAAATGACGTATTAAATCAAACAAATTATGATGAACAGGTAATATCTCAAACAGTCCTAATGTACTAATAATCACAGCAAAATAAATGTAACAGAGAAATAATCATAACATACACTGGAGTGATATCTGTTTAGACAACAGCGCTAATCATCAAGACTACTAAGCTTACACGGTGAGCAAAATCCCCACATTCAAAAAGTGTTCAAACAGTGTAAGATTATTTTAACAAATACATAGGAATGAGTTTAAAACAAATCTTGATTTAAAAAATTGTTTAAAAACAGCCTGTACACAATCACAAATCATTCACAGTGGTGAAACTCAACTGGAAAGTTATTCCACGCTAGAGGCAAGTCATTAAGGCTTCATAGTTCTTAGAGAAATAAAAGAAATTTTGTATATTCAACTGACACAGCAGTTGAAATACAAGATTACACTTCCAAAGGATCGTTTTTACCAAGTAGGAACTTACGGAATAAATGTAAAGATATACAAAAATGGTACAATATAGAAGAGTGATACACAAAAACAAATCGATTATTTGTCCTTTAAAAGTTTACATGTAATAATGATATTGTCAACAGCTACATATTTAATAACAATTTTTTGAATGAGTATAGATATAAATTTTAAAATGACATATTTTATTTAGTTTGAAATATATTTCATAATAATTAATAAGATCCATACCTACAAACTTCCTTAATTGGAATAAAAAAAAAACCCTTCAAAATACACGAAAAACTGACATTTTAGAAAAACTGACCTTATAGAGAGGGTGTAGTTGGGCACAGCTAGTCCAGCAATAACATGACACTTCCTTACATCTGTGAAATGTCAAATTACCTACGCATGAGAAAAAGTAACAAAACAGGTGGCACGGATCTCAGAAAAGCAATACTGCTCTTTTAAGTACTGGTTCATCAAACAACTATGTAACTGAAGGGAATTAATATCCAATATCAAACATTTTTATAATGCTGGCATGTGTGGGTGAAGTTTTTGTCTCTCAGTTTCAACTTGGCGGGCAAGATCAATGCTAGAAACTGTGGGAACACCACATGGAAGAAAGAGAGTCTCTGTTTCATGCTGCATAATGTGTTCTGCCTCAGCTGTAGTAAAAATGTTGTTATAGATTAGTGACAAGAGAAATCAAACAACTACAAGTTAAACATTTTGCTTCCAATTTTTTTTTTACCTCTGATACGATGTAATTTAGTACCATAAGACAGATCAGCCTGATATGCCAGAACAAATGTCAGTGGTAAAATTGGCATCAGAAACCCTGGCTTTTTAGTCTTGCGATACCTAAGAACATAATATATAAATATATAAGGAAGGAAGGCAAATGCAATGATTTCAAAATCAGTCTGCTTCTCAAACTTACGCTGAAGACAGACTCGTCACACCAATGACGTAAAATGCAGTCAGCCAGTTTAGTAGTTCTCGGGCTCTTGCTATTTGCATTGCCATGAGTCGCTCCCTCATTTGGTTCTGGGAATGTAATTGTCTCTCAACCTGAAGGGTGTAAAAGAATTTATGTTAAGTCTAATGTATTGGGTAACATTTGAAATGAACAACAAATTACTATAGCATACCATAATGGTGTTCAGCTCTTTCACAAATTCACGGTTTTTTGACATACCGTCTTCCATTGATCGACTTACAACTGAACCCATGGCTGTAAAAAGCTTGAAGGTATCTGAGGAGGAAATTTAAACAGTAACATGTAATTAACTTGAATGACGATCAAAATCACAGCCTGTGCATTTTCATCAATCTCAATGAATGATAATGACAACACCTGTAAAAGAGGTTGTCAATATCAATTCAATGTTGCACAAGGTGAAACTGCAACAACATTTTCATGCAATTTGGTAAAAAGAAAAATGTTTTTCATAAAAGTTGCAGTAGTGAAAATAGTGACATTACTCATAACCTTACATAGAGACAAAACTATTCAATCCTGTTCAATCTAAATATTAAAAGGTGAAATAGTTTTAAAAATAACAATTGGGGTCTGTTTATGGAGAAAAATTATAATGGTCGCAAAATATAAACATGTCAAAAGACCAAAACCAACCAAAACAATTCCTGTCTGTCTTCTGCTTCTGCTTGCTACACCACGACCGTCGTTTGTTGGTTGTCGTACTGTACTGTCAGGTACTGTCAGTCTGCTGCGGTCTGCTTTTATTTCCTGTCATTCAGTTTGAAGAGATTGCAGATTTACAGAATAAGAACAGAATGACAAGAAAGCCATGTGCGGTAGCAGTAAGTTGCTGTTCGAAACCTGCATGTGAAATCGTAAAATGTAAGTTAAATTTATAGTTATTTGAATGTTGGAAGAAGGTCGGTAAAGGTTAGGGGCCTGTCAACATGAGAGGTTTATTACTGCTTTCAATCAATTTAACGGTCTATGTACCTCACAATGCTACAGTTTCTTAATTGTGCTCAGTTATTTAAAATTAAGTGTTGCCTTAGTATGCCAATCTCTATTGTCTTATGTGAACTACGCATGATGTTGTTGTATTCCAATATTCCAATTCTTTTTCTCTAGTGATTGTAAATGACGAGGAGTTCAACCAGTCTTCTGATCTTGAAAATGGAATAGTTGCCTACCCCTGGCACATTGATACAAAGTATTACACGGCAGACGTCCATGTCTGCACTTTGCAGGATAAAAACCTGGGAACTACTGAATTTGCTGAATCTGTCCAAGCTGTTATCATCTATTTTGATAGCAGAAAGGTGATAATTTTTATTTGTTTATGTGACTTCTTCTATCAATATTTCAAGTTTGTTTTCAATGGTTTATTTTCTATTCAGAACGAGGGGCTTATTGATGTTCAGCAATGGGAACCATTCATTAATGAATTTGACCCAGACATCCGCATTCTGCTTTGTGAGAACTGTGAAGAAAATCCATCAACAGGCATCAGTAAACTTACAGGTGACACAATGAACCAAATAAGTAATGATTATGTTTTTGTGTGGATTAACTTTCTTAATTCATTCATGTTTCACAAGCTCAAGAATGGTGTATAGCAAGAGGGTACGAATTAGTAGAACTCAATCCTTCAAAAGATGAAGAGTGGGAAGAGGACCAGGACTTTTTGGAAACTACAGGCGCTCCTCGTATTCTACAGGCTTTACACGCTCATACATGGCCAGAATTAATTATGAAAGGTACATTGATTTGCAATAGTGAATACCTTGATTTAACCTCACATCAATTTATCTTTACTTTCTTACTAGGAGAATCCAGTAGCTGCTCCCGAAACATCCAATCATTGCTTCTCAATCCAGGAGCAAATTTCAGGTCACTTTCTCCAAGTGATGTTGATTTCAGTGAGTTGCTTGCCAATTCGGAGGCAGGAGACGATGGCCTTAGTCAAGAGCTTCAGAATCTTCGCTTAAATCAAGAAGCCCTAGATAGCGGTCATGGATTTGATCCTAATATTCTAGATGAACCTCCAGGTATTTATTGTCAATTTATAATAGCAGAACACCAACAGACATTATGTTAATTCTTCAATTATGAATGCCTGGTCACAATTCTACCGCCTTGTTGCAGATGGTCTTGGCTCAGGTGGGAATACAGATGATTTCTTTAGGCTTTTCCAAAATCTAGCAGATATGAAAGAAAGAGTATCAGGCATGACAACGGATGACAGGAAAGCCTGTGCTGAACAGGTAGTCAAGGCTTTCTGGCGTGTCATGGGTGGCGACACCGAAGAGTTGAGTGATTCTAGTGAAGATGAAAAATGATACTTATAGACAAGGACATACATAATATACTCTCAGTTTTTATTTCATATGTGCATTCCCTTGCTTTTTCTCAAAATCCAATAATCTGCATCTACTTTAATTTTTTTCACTGATGACAATGAAGGAGTAAAAACAACTTTCTTTCACACGTCCATTCATTATTTTTCCTATTGAGTGAGAATAACACCTCCCTGTGCTGCATCTTTTCCCCTCCCATTTCGAAGATCTTTTTCCGGAGTTGTGACCGCGGGTATGAAAGGACCGAGGGATGGGACGAGATCGAGGGGGGAGGGGGGGGGGGCGACCCTCCTAAAGCACCAAAAGGCCTTCCGGAAGTGCAGAACACTCCTGGTCCAGCAAATAAGAGAGCGAGCGAAAGACGAAAAAAACAAACCAGTGCCGTTGTCTGTCAGTGACTTTCAGTCGCAGTCCTCTACCCTTCCAACCGAGGCCCCAGAGAGGAGGGGGCGGCGGCGTCGAGTAGAGCTAATGCCCCTTGTCTCCCCGCCCTCCATTGGGTAACATTTGAAATGAACAACAAATTACT